CTTCCTGTAAAATTAAAACGTGTATATCAGAATGCCTACCAGCTTTGCCTAGAATGATTTGACTATAATTTTCATTTTAACATCCCCTTTCATTTACCGTTACGCCTTTAAAATGAAGCAACTAATGTTATTGACCAGTAAGAATTTTAATTTCTTCTTTTTCAAACTAAACTCAAGTGAAAGTCATATTTTACTTAAGTTTTCCCATCTATATCATAAACATTATTACTTTCTATGTAAATATTAGCAGTTCCAATTACATTAATTAAAATGTGTTTTTCTCTGTAAATACTAACTATACTTGGCCATAATTTGAATGACTGACTATATATTGTCTATTATTTTGCTGTAATAGTTAATAATATAAACAATAATTCTTATTTTCATTTTAACCAGATTCTTTGCAATAAAGTTTTAATATTACAATGCACGGGAGGATACTCAAGTAACAAAACATTACTTGATACATTAAAATAAGTTTAAAATTCATGAGCAAAGTTAAAAAGGAAAAACATACAAAAACTCAAGCAATTCACCAATCTTGACAAATTCCTATGAAAAACTATAATTTAGAACACTACAAGAAACAATGGGTAGAGTGAAATTTGACAGTTATCATTAATACTACTAAATATAATTTTGAGAAGACATAATCCATATATATGGCAAGAGTAAAATTTATCTTTATTTAGAGTATTTTATTTCTTTACCCTATCTAAGTAAACTATGTAATTTAACTCAAATAAGTCCCTGAAATGAAACTGCTTCAGAAACTGACCTAGATCCTTAAAGCACTGGGTAACAATATATATTCATGGATACTTGGTAGTATTTAATCTTTCAGTGATTATGCTTACTGAATCTGAACAATCTGTGGCACTGATCTTTACTCCCAACAAAGTATACAGTTAGTGGTAATATAAGGAGAGGCTAAGAACTATAAATTTTAAGAAAAAATATTTTATTTCAATTTATTTATTATTATTACTATTATTAATTTGACCAGAAATAGACAGAGAGAGAGGTAGAATATGAGAATGCAAGCCATCAGGTCCTGTACTTGAACTGTGTTTGGCCATGTGGGAGTCCAGTGACTTAATCACCACACCACCTGCTGGTCCCCCACAAATAACTATAAAATTAATGGATAAAAATTATGTTTAAGAACAATTATAGGGACCAGCAGTTGGCGTAATGGCTATGTCGCTGGACTTCCATGTAGTTGACTGTGGTTCGAGTCCTGGACCCAGTGGCTTAAACTCATGTGTGTGCATGCCCAAGACCACAAGAGGAGAATGGAGGAGAAGGGATTATGCCTTGGCCATTCCCCCTGGGGGGGTGATTTCTCGCTTTCTGTCTCTCCTGTCTTCTTGGCGAGCGCACGTGCCCTACAGCAAAAACCTCTCCAAAAAAGAAAAAAGAAAAGAACAATTATATAAAAGTCATTAGGTAATATTTACTTAAAGCATTTTTCTGTCTATAAAAAATATTTTTTCACTAAGTTCAGACATTTGTTTCTAGTTAGAACAAAATGCCACAATTCCTCCTACTCACAATTATACATTTGCTAACATAAAGCTTAATTAAACCCAACAAAGTAATTTTGGCATAAACAAGTTATTTTACATCACCTAATTTTTTGCAGAAATATTTCTCTCATCAGCCATTGACCAATTTAGGGCCTTGTAAGGGAAGTGTCTGAGCAATATTAGCTAATTCTCCTACAGTTTTTGTATTAGAATAATTGTACTTTAAAAAATTAGTATTATACTAATTTCTAATTAATCATATTATATTGCTGTCCCTTTTTGCTCCATGTACACCCAAATATTTATTTTTATATAGCAAGCTCTCCTGGTTATTCAGTATTTTAAATCTATGTACAAACAGAATTTTTAGAGTATTATTTCTGCTTTCTGTATCATCTATCCCTGAGGTATATATTAATAGTAACCACAGTATATAGTTAATTTGTTTGCCCTTATTTTCCTGTAGAAAGAATTAATTTCTATTCTACAAATTCACTTAACTAATATTAACATAATTACCTGGAGCACATAGTTACACAAGCACAGAAATATCACTAGTAATTCAAAGAAAAATATAATTATTCTAAAAAAAAAACTTCAATAATGGAAATTGTCACACTTTTTATTAGGTAGTCTAAGAGATTTCATTAAACAATTTAGGATCTTTTTCATACCTTTCTAACTTTCCTTCCTTTTGAAGGACACTGACCAAGGAAACCTGTAGCTCACTTATCAAACTTTTCCTTTTTCCAATTTTATCAAACCAAGAACACAGAAAATAACTGATTCCACTTATGCCACATAAACATATGTTTTAAGTTCTTAGCAACAAAAGTCCAAAAGGCTGCAATGTAGAATTATGTCTCCTGAAAACAGGCACTTAAACTTTATTAAATAATGTGATATGAACTTCAAGAGGAAAGCAAAAATCTAGAGTTTGTCAGTGAAAATAACAGATTTTGAACTATAAAAGTCCCTTCTTAGCTTGAAGTCAAATTCAAAACTATTTAAATAACAAATTCTAGTAAGACTTATTCTTTAGAAGTGTAATGAAGTTCATGTTTATTAAGCTTTCCCCCTCACTGTGCTCCTACAAATTATGAGATGAGTGACTTAACAATTTTTTCTGCAAAACACACACACACACACACACACACACACACAGCTCTAAATCAGTTCTTGTATAGAGGGGAGTTTGATTGGCTTTTCCTGTAAGTTGTTTGTTTGAAACATTTAAAAGGATTCATGTGTCTGCTAATACAGCTTTGCTTTAAAGCACAAAATCTGCAGTTTATATATATGAATTACAAAAATTTTAGTGAGCTGTATTATGCATTACTTGTAAAATAGACCAAAAGCTAAAGATTAAGTTGAATTGCTACCGAGTGTATAAAATAAAAGACAATGGATCTGGCATATGCATTTTAGAAAATAATGAAGTAAAACAGTTCAATAATGAAAATGAGATCCAGAAAAAATTAAAGAGATTTTGCTTTTCATTAGTTTTACTTTAGTTTTATTATTTCAGTGATTTAAAAAAAATCTTTCCTTACATTTTCTTAAAGATTAGTTGAGTGGTAAAGGTAAGGTGAATAGTCAATTAAGGTGAGATTGAAAATACAAAAATACTTAACTATAAGGAAAATGTGCCATCATGGAAATCTTAGGGAACAAGATGTATTAAAAATTTCTGACTGGGGCAAATAAATCTCCTAACAATGCAAAAGCAGAAATGTCAATTAAATTCTGTCTAAATACCAAATTATTACATGACAAATTGCCTAGCACTTAGTTGTTTTCTACTAATGGTATTAGTATTAGATGGTATTATTAGTTGCTAAATTTAGGCAATATGACAAAATGAGCAGTTTTTGCCATATGCATTATTTAAGGTTTCTGTAAACTACTATTTTCTTTTTTTATTTTTAATTTTATTTATTCATTTATTTATTTTGACCAGAGAGATACACAGAGACAGAGAAAGTGAGAAAGCAAGCCACCAGGTCCAAGACTTGAACCATGGTTGGCCATATGGGAATATCCGGCACCTTAACCACCACACCACCTGCTGGTCCCCAGTAAACTACTATTTTCTTGTTACTAGATCTGTAAACTAAAGTTAGATTTAAGAAAGGTGTTCTGAATTATCCTATGGTGGAAAGGACTCCTCTTAACATTAAAAGTGAAACATAAATAGAAGCCAAAAATTCCAAAATTTCTAAGGCAATTACAAAAAGAGCTTGCCCAACACCTTCTATGAAGAACATATAAAATGGTCTTCAGTATTTCAAACAGCAGCAAATTTGCAATATTCAGAAATGATTTGCAATCAAAGCCTTCTGAAATATAAATAAAGATGGTAGCTAAATTTTGTACCTTCCTCTGCTCTTGCACCTTCATGATCAGTCATTCTAGTAGAGGCTGACCTAGACTGATTACTGATTCCTGAAGGGATGTGGGGCAGCTCATCATCTCCCAGATCAGCTATCATGTCGTAGAGTTTTGTCCTGTTGACCCCTGTAAATTAATGTCAGCAGTAGAGGTTCATTTAATGGCTACCGCTTGACTTATTAGTAATCTTTAAAGCCAATTTATTAACAAAACAGACTCTATTAAGCAGTCCCACTTATTAAAATATCAGATAAAGAGGTCTTCAATTTTCCATACCACCACCCAAGACACATTAAAAGAGATTAAATATTTAAGATATTCACTATGTATATATCTATTATGCTTTAAACACGTGTGTGTGCACACACACTTCTTTACTCAACCAAAGTTCTATAAGCTCTCAGACACAGAAGGTACAATCAGAACAAAAGAAAACTGATGTTTAAGGTTAATGTTTACCCATGTAAAGAATAAAAACATGGGCTTTTCAACTTAATTCACTGTTTAAAAACTGTTAAGAAATAAATACAAATGACTTTCATGAGGGTGCAACAAACAATGAACTTTCCCTGGTGTTTCCATGGGTATTTTCCCTTCCAAACAGCATGTTAGCACAAATCTGTCATTTACTAAATCAATTCCAATTACTCATATAAATTTTTTTCATTTTTTCCAAATTAAATAAAAACTGATTTAGTCATGAGCTCCTGGAACTTTCTCATGATATGAAAAGTCAAACACTGTCATAGGCCATAAATTTAAGGGGGAGAATTTCAGTTGTTGCTTGGAAAATTCAGGTCAATATATAAAACTCAAAAATTACTAAAGTATTGTGGAATACTTTTTACTTTAACTTCACACTTCAGAAACTATAAAGTTTTTTTTTATTTTGAACTGTGCGTTTTGAAAGAAAATTATTATAGTTTTAAGAATGTCAGAAAAAATAATTTAAAGGGAAACACTTTATAATCCATATAAAGTAAAAGCTACTGAAATATACATATTCAAGGCCAAGCATTATAACCTTACAGGCACCAATGTCAACATTAATGGACCAATCAGACTGCTATACAGTTATAAAATTTACTGTGCCTAGTTGTTATCCATAATTCTATAGTCATTCATCTATATATTCCTAACAGAATGCTAGGCTATGATATAGTAAGACTGACTAGAAACAGGTGCAGTCTTACATATTAGCTGTATCTTAAGGTAATTCTTAACTTCTTAGAAATGCTTAAGCATCTCTACCTTCTGTATGTATAAGTCATGTAGTCTAAACTTCCTAAAATAATTTTAATAGAGAAACTCAGTATTACCTGCAGATTTTCCCCAACAGAAAAAGGACTGTAAACGAATTCTCTTATAAGTGAAAAACTACCAAATAGATGTCTAACCACAACTTAACTTCAACATGAAAGAAAATAAAAATACTTCTCATAGAAGACTTCTCCTTATAGCCTTCCTACTCGTATGACTACCGCTACCATTGATTTATTTCCTGTTTTTAGAATTCTCAACCATAAGAGAGTAATTCCTCTTCTATTTGTAAAATAGGAGAGAGGGCTATTTTTTTAAAAAAAGAATCCTGCTTTAAAGTATTCTTCGGATTAACTTCTCTATAGACTTTATATTAATCAAAGTTTTCATTTCTATGAATTACTGTAGTAGATTTTCTTTCTTTTCTTTCTTTCTTTCTTTCTTTCTTTCTTTCTTTCTTTCTTTCTTTCTTTCTTTCTTTCTTTTCCTTCCTTCCTTCCTTCCTTCCTTCCTTCCTTCCTTCCTTCCTTCCTTCCTTTCTTTCTTTTTTTTTGCCATATGGTGCATGCATTCACTGGAGAGAGACAAAGTGAGAAGGAAAGTGAGAAATCACCCCATAGGCGGATGGCAACACTGCACTCCCTTCTTCTCCATTCTCCTCTTGGATTTTGGGCATGCACACACACCCATCTGGCATGAGTTTCAAGATGACAGGTCCAGGACTTGAACCACAGTCAGCCATGTGGGACTCCAGCAGTTTAACCACTAAGCCATTTGCTGGATGAATAATTGATTTTTCTATCTCTACATTCCATTTGCCTTTAATCAAATTTGAATGCTATGATTTAAGTTAGTTTTCCAAAATTATCACATTTATTGTATCTCCCTCTTGAGAAACCACAAATAACTCTCTAACACTGTCTGTATCAAGGTTAAACAAAATCTTGTACTTATTCTTCATGTATTTCATGGCCTGATCCTGTTTTTCTATACAATCCTATTTTAATGAATCCTCTTAATTTTCCAGTAAAGCAGTTTCCACATAGTATTAATGTTCACAAAGATTATTTCTGCCACATTTTGTCATATGTGTCCTCACCTATTCCTCATAAAAGTGAAAACAGGACACGTACTTACACACACACAGTTCCTGTCTTTGAATGTGCACCCTGATCTACCCAAATTATACCTATTTCTCCAAATTAGATCGCCTCCTCTATAAAGGTTTTGTTCTCTTAAGAATTATTTTATTTATTTATTTATTATTGTTTCAATTTGATCAGGGAGAGACAGAGAGAGAGAGAAGGAAAGTGAGAAAGCAAGCCACCAGGGCCGGGACACGAACTGTGGTTGGCCATGTGGGTGTCCAGCACCATTACCACCATGCCACCTACTGGCCCACTGCTTGCTTTTATTATAATTGTGTGTGTATCATAAGAATCTGCATCATTAATGATCTTGCAAATAATTTAATTATATGATAGCTACTGTCAAATACCAAAAAGATTTGGGCTGACTACATAGTGCAACAGTTAAGTTCTGTACACAAAAAGCCATATCCCACACGGTTGGCTACGGTTTGAATCTTAGCCCAAGGAGCTTGAAAAACACACTGGACACGGTTTTCTGAAAGATATGGAGGAAAGACCGTGGGTAGCCATGGCCCACAGGGGAATGGCACTCTCTCTGGCAAGTGCATGTACTCTCTGGGAATTTAAAAAATAGCTAAATAAATAAAATAAAATAAAATTTTAAAAATATATGTATATATTCTATAAATTTATATATTGTCATATTTATATCATGAAATAAATTGATATATTATTGGATCGTTGGAAAATTCATGCTGTATTTTTCTATGCATCTATTCCTTTCCCCGTGACTCTGACTCTCTCTCTCTCTCTCTCTCTCTATATATATATATATATGTTTCTATACAGATACAGATACAGATACATAAATAAATAAATTAAATAAAAAAAGACTTGAGAGAAAGTTTTGTAGTTAGAAAATGTGAAGTTATAATCTTCCTGTACACATGGACGGGGAGACACAGAGGGGAAGGAGAGTAGAAAACAATAAGAAAGTCACTGTTCAAACTGAGAATCTCAAATCATATAATAATTACTATCATTTTGTATACTACAGCCAAACATTCTTCTGTATTTGGCACAGTGCCATGTTCAGGAAACTGCAGTGCTCTAATCCTAGTTTCTCAGAAACTGTCAAAAATGAAAGCAGAATAACCAGTAATCAGTCTTTGCTCTACTCTGTAGAGCATCTAACAACTCCAAATTTAATGCCTTTATTTTCTTTCTAAACCTATCCAGTATTCTTAAATATAATAAAAACAACAAAAAAATTATAAACAAAATTTTAAGTCAGATTAATGGTATTAGTGTAACAATATAGTATATATAATAGTAATATCAATATTTAAAAGCATAAATATCATTAACATTAGTAAAATAAAAACTGATTGTCAATTAATGACAAATCAATAGAAGAAATACTTTTTTTTTAGAATTATTTTAACTTTATTTATTATTTATTTTAATTTGACCAGAAAGAGACAGAGAGAGAGAGACAGAGAAAGAGAGGAAGAGAGGGAGGGTAAAAGGGAGGGCGAAAGCCACCAGGTTCAATACTTAAACCACAGTTAGCCATGTGGGAGTCCAGCACCTTTACTCTATGCCACCTGCTGGCCTGAGATATACTTTTTCTAATTCTTCAAGCAAAAAAAATCTTTTTGTACTACTATCAATTATAAAACACAACCCACCTATCTCTTAACCATGACTATCAACTTCTATATAAATACATAATCCTCTAAATATATTGCAGAATAAAAAAATTTACTAATTATGCCATGTAAGCCAAACAATGAACTGCTATTAATCTTTTTTGAAATCATACACACACACACACACATACACACACATATAAATGACATATAAAATTTATCTTCCCATACAATCTATTATTGTACGTAAAATAGTACTTTTAACAAATCTAATGTTTTCCCTTTCTCAAATGTGCCCACCTTTTATATACTACCTCATATTACAAAGTAAAACCAACTGTTAGAAGGCAAATAATCTGGGAAAGATAAGCTTATTTTAAGATAAGGACTTGGGTAAGTTATGTTTGTTAAATATATTTTATTTTCTGTCATTATATGGTATCTTAAATAAATATAACAATATTGAAAAAAAATTACTTCAGCTACAAAGTGATTCTTTGGTTTAAAAAGTGCTCTGTTTAAAAGGAGCCAAGTATTTTCTGACCCTAGAAAAAAAGACCAAAATAAAGATATTTTCTTATGGCAAGGGAGGTGCGGAGGGAGAAATCTATTGAGTTAAAGAACTGAACGGTCTGTTTTAACTGTGAAATTAAAGCCAGACACATAATATCCCTTTGTTATGAAACAATTTTGTCTGTCTTTGCTTTGATGTAGAATATAACATCATTTTATCTGCTAGCTAAAAGTAGCTTAATCATCATAGATATTTTATAGTATGTACAAAGGTATTTTTATAGCCTAATGAAGGTTACTGCTACAAAAACTAACTTGTTCTCAAATGCATTAGAACGATTAATTTCAGGCACAGTCACTATGGCACAGTAGTAACACAAGTAGCCTGCAAAGCTGGAAGCCTATGGCAATCATGGGTTCAGACTTCTGAGCTGGCCTGAAAACACACTAGGTAAATGTAGGTAACCAGGATCAGGCTGGAGAAAAGGGACCATGGCATGACAAGACCCTGGCAAGGGTGCCCCCCACCAACCAAGCACCTGCACATGTTCCCTATTATTTAAGGAAAAAAAAGAGAAAAAAAAGCCTAATTTAAAATATTTGGTTTAAA